GGGGAAGGGGCCCTGGGCCCGCGCTGCCCTGGGAACCTCCTGGGTGCTCCGCTGGGAGAGGTGAGGGTGGGTGGCACCTGCAGGGAGCTCGTCATGCCGCCTTCCGGCCTTGACACCTCTCTCTCTCTCTCTCTCTTGCGCCAGGCCTCGGCCCCAGCTAGACCTGTTGTTCCTGCGGCGGTTCTTGAGGATCCAGGCGATCCTGTTTCCCAGATGGCCCTCCCCGAACGTGCTGATGTTCCTGACCCTGCTCTGCGTTGCCTTGCTGGGTAAGCCCGCGAGCACTGGGGTCGGGGGGCTGTGCGTCACTCTTCTGGTGGAGCGTGCGCCCCGTGTGTGCACGCTCGTCAGGAGCGTGCTCCCGATTCCTCTGTGATCATCCCCCCTCTGCTGTGCCACCGCAGTCCTTCATTTTCTCTTGGTGTCTTCTTGTTTCCTCCAGAGCAGCTGGTTATTTACCAGGTCGGTGTGATCCCCAGCCAGTACTATGAGGTCCTAGGGAACAAGGACTTCTCCGGGTTCAAAACACTGACCGCCATTGCTCTAACTCTGATCGTAGTCAACTCCACGGTAAAACAGGCCAGAAACTCCCTTGTCTTGGGAGGGGAGGCTGGGGAGGGCCAGAGGGGACCTCCCTGGAAACAGGGAGGTGCTGTCATTGGAGGAAGGGAAGGGGAATGCTGCCAGTGGTTCCTGGCATGACCCCTTTGCTGAGGGATCTAGGTCTGCTTTTGCCCCATTCGGTAGCCGCGTATGGGATGGGTCACCTGAACAAACTTGTTTTTTCTCATTTTGGGAAGTGCATGTTCTCCTGGCTCATTCCTTCCCGTTTGTCTCCTTGCCCTTGTTCCAGCTAAAAAGCTTCGACCAGTTTATTTGCAACTGGATGTATGTGAGCTGGAGGAAATCCCTCACCGAATACCTCCACAGCTGTTACTTCCAGGGCCAGGTCTACTACAGCCTGCACGTGCTGCGCGAGGACATCGATAACCCGTAGGCTGCCTGCGGCTTCTTTCGGCCTCTTTCTTAGCTCCTCCTGAGCTGCTCCTCACCTTTTCCTGACCTCTCTGCGTCTCTGGGTAGGGGCTTGAGCCCTAGAAGCTTTTTCAATCTAGGCACAAATACTCTTGTCTGCCCCGGATGTAGGTGGTAGGTGGTAATGCTGTACAGGGAATTCCCGCGGCTGAGGGTCATGACGGTTTAAGGGTGCATATGAGGTTTGAAGAGGTGCTCGTGTTTTTGTTGCAAGGAAAATGGAGTCCCAGCAGAATAGGGATCTCGTAATTGATACAAAATGCACTGTCTGCAAAATGAACCCTTGTCACTCTGCATATGACTTTGCAAAGGGCCTGACTGGAGTCAGAGAGTGCTGCCTCTCCCTGCCGTCACGCAGTCAGTGCACTCAGCACAGCCTCTGTTGTTCAGTTTGAACTTCAACCACCAGAGTCTCCAAGTGAACAGAGTTTTGTTTAGTTGTTTTTTTCAGTGGTTTCACTAACCTGCAGGGAAAGCTGGGAGCCACATCCAAGAAGAGCTTTGTTTTGCTCTGGACAAGGGCTGCATTTCCTCTTTCCTGTTCCCAGGGAGGAAACGTCAGTGGTGACTTGAAAACTAAGAGAAAAAGGAGGAGCATTTAGTCCCTCCTTGCTTATTCCAGCCCATGCTGAGAGCCCCTTCCTGTCCCACCACAACAGCCACCTGCGCAGCTGCAGCGAGGAGGAAGTTCTGCTTCTCACACTGGCCTTGTTACTATATGGCTGCTCATCTACCCAGGCTGCGTAGCAAGAGCTGAACACCTCCCTACCTCACAACAACATCTTGACCCCAGCCTTTTTGCCTGTTCTTGTGCACAGGGCACTGCTGTCATAATTACCAAGTTTGAAGGGTTAAAGATCCTCCCTTAGAGACAGTGTGAGAAGTAGAGACTGATATTTTTTCCCCAGAGCTAAAAAAAGTTATTGTTAAATACGTGATGAAAAACTAGAAACCAGCAGAAAAGTTCTTCCAACTTACATGGCTTTATACAGCTGTGTTGAGACCCCTGGCTCCGTCTCTCTGGAGGGCACACCTGTGGTCTAGTCCCTTTCACTGCGTTGGTGCCATCTCCCAGAGAGGTGACCAAGGCTGGGGTCACTGACAGAAATGGCTGTCTTGCAGGAACGCCTAACTGTTGCCGATACGAACCTCTGGGCTGCTGCTCCCCAATGCTCTTGGCTGCCTGTCCTTGCCATTGCATCGTGCTACGTGGTGGTTTGTTTGGCCATGCAGTGACCTGGAGCAGGATATGTCATACTTTTGTGTGTGTGTGTGTGTGTATTTGTATCATTTTTCAGCCAGATCTGTTCACTGGCTCCTTAGGCTTTCCCAGATATGGCCAGGCTAAGAACAAGCAGCAGGGAGCAGGGGAAACAACAGCTGAGGAGAGGGTTCAGCTTGGCTCAAGCACCCCTTCTGCCACGCAGGAGATATAGCCTCAGTGATGCTGATGCATTTTCCAGCAGCCATCGGAGTTACTTCCAGGCTCATTAAGTGGTGATAGTATTTTGCAGTAGGACAGAGTTGCAAGGACAGAGCTAAAAAGCTATGCCTGTCACCAAGACATATCCAGTGTGTCCCAGGCAGTGCAACCCATTAGCCAAGGCTAGAAGCTTCTGCACACACATCTTTTCCTTGTGGTAGGGGCCCCTCACCATGTGATGATACTGGTCAGGTTTATTTTTAACCAGGGAATGTGTTCAGATTATGCAGTTCAGTGTATGAGATAACTGGGTCTATCTGCTTTGCAGCAACAGAGCCAACTCTTCCGACCTTAGAGCAGACCAAATGTTGGGATAGTTGCAGAGTATTTTTCATTACCCCTTGCTTCTGCTCAAACATCCAGCCTTATTGTTTAGTGTTATTTTTTGCTGCATCTGCCAAAATTCTCCTTATCTGAGGATTCCTTGATGAGAATTTTTTTCCCTGCACCAGGCAGTTAGAGCATGAACTAAGAGCAGTGAAGTGACTTCCTGTTATGTAGTGCAAACCAAACTGGGTGTTAGAAGCACTGTGTCATCCTTGTTTCCCTTCCAGAGGAAAAGAGGAGTGGATTTTGAGTGACATCCAAACACTTGTGGCTCCTAACAGGGCATCTGAGTTGATGTTTATATGTTATCATTGCATATTGCTTAATAGTTCATAGAAAGCAATATCCCTGCTGTGAATCTATGGTCTGGGTTAATTTATAACTTGATGGGAACAGTTACAAATAGTCCAATAAAAGGAAAAATGATGGCTATAAGGTCAGTGGGATGGGCGATGCCTCCAAAAGGAGGCAGCTTTCCTCCTTGTTGGACTCTCCAGCATCCATAGTTGAGACCTTTCTGCCTGTGCTTAGAGCATCAGAGGCGCAAGCTCTTATCCGTGTGTTCTGGACAGATCAGGCACAGAGGGACTAAATACTTGCTGGCAGGGTGGCTTTGATGGAGGAGTTTGCAAATATCCAACAGCTGGCTAAGGACTGGCTGGCACTCTAACCAGCCCCACTAGCTCTGCTACCTGGGATGCAGCACCAGCACTGAAGGTGTGGAGGAGGCAGTGGTTTTGATAGTACGGGGTGGGTTCAGGAGAGGAGTGAAAAAACAAGGATGTAGAGACCTTTAGCACATAGCAGGACAGGATTGTTTGAGTGTGGAACAAGGGATTAATACAAGGAGCAGGGCAAAGGTAACAGAAGGAACCATTCTGCTTGAGTGTCAGAGAGGCCCCGGGGTGAGTCCTGCTGTGCCATGGTAATTGCTCCCAGTGGGGGCCATGGCAGTCACAGCTCCAGCTCCCTCCCATGCGGGCTTGTTCACGTTCATTTTATTCTAACTGCAGGCTGCAAACAGCTTGGCTTGTGCCCTGTTGGGGAGTTACTGCGTCCTGCACTGACAGTTTCTCACTCCTGAGCTCTAACGGTGTCAATGCCTCTTTTTGTTGAGCAGAGACCAGCGCATCAGCCAGGATGTGGAGAGGTTCTGCAGGCAGCTCAGCTCCATGGCCAGCAAGCTCATCATCTCACCCTTCACACTGGCCTACTACACATACCAGTGCTTCCACAGGTAAGGACCCATTCTGGCTCTGCTTTCGTGCCTCTGTCCTGGGCTCTGTTTTGAAGCCTGGCACCCACACTGTAATTCCCCAGATGAGTGCTTGTGCATGTGGGTGAGGTGTCTCTGACTGCACCCCACTAGGCCTCTTGCCCCAGGGATGCTGGGGTGTGTGGTGTTGACTCCATAGCTCCTGCGAAAGGGAAGAGAGGCAGCAGCTGAGGGCTCTGGCTGCCCAAGCCCAGGGGTGCTGGGGTGTCCTTTTGCTTGGGTTGTTAGCTGACCTCTCTTTCTCCTCTCCTGCAGCACAGGCTGGCTAGGCCCAGTGAGCATCTTTGGGTATTTTGTCATTGGGACGGTTGTTAACAAAGTGCTGATGAGCCCAATAGTGTCAAAACTCGTGCAGCAGGAAAAGCTGGAGGGGGATTTCAGGTGAGTCACGGCAGAGCAGCATTCTCGCTGCCTCTTCTGGTAACTCCTGTGAGAGCTCCATTTTCCTCCCTGTTCAGTGCTATGTATGTGTCTACTTCTCTTCTCCATGGCTTTCCTGGTCCTCACGCTCACGTCAGTTGCCTGCCAGCTCAGAGAGACCTGCCTACTTGACGCTACCCCACAGTCAGTGTCCTGAGCCCCAGCCACCCCTTTCACTGCCCTGTGTTGTGTTAGGCAGTGCCCTTGGTTCAGTCTCCTGGTCTCCACTGCTGCTCCTTGACTGATCGCTCCTGCTGCTGTTGCATTTGCTGATGCATTGGATGTGCTAGAGAAAACTGCGCATGGAGCATCTTTGGGTGTAGCTGCAAATTCACTGACAGAATCACTGACAAGAAACCAGACGGGTTTCTGGTTTGTTACTTCATGAATGTGAATACCTAAAATGGCACATTCTCTCCATATGCTCCTCCAACTCATCTCTTCGCCGTTCCCTGCAGGGTCGGATGGGTGTATGGTAGGGGCTACCCAGCTTTCCCTGGAGATCAGGGCATCCCAGGATAACAGCAGAAGGGGGTGTGGCACAAGGAGGCAGACTGAGCTTCCCAAAGGGAAGGGATGTCCAAGGGCTGAGAAGACTTGCACAAAGAGCAGGTTGCTGAATGAGGTGTGCCACTGAGCTAGCCCAGAATGATATCATGGTGTGCTAAGCCTTGTTCAGCGTCTTTTGAGCCTGTTAAACATTTCTGTCAATAGATATGTCAGATCATTGCTCTCACTGATGCAAGATGAGTGTCCTTTACACAGAATCACAGAATCGTTTAGGTTGGAAGGGACCTCTGGAGATCATCTAGTCCAACCTCCCTGCTCGAGGAGGGTCCTCTAGAGCATATTGCCCAGGATCACATCCAGACGGGTTTTGAATATCTCCAGGGAAGGAGACTCCGCTACCTCTCTGGGCAACCTGTTCCAATGCTCTGTCACCCTCACAGTGAAGAAGTTTTTTCTCTCTTTTAGCAAGAGCGTTGGCTACATAATTCACTGGGCAGTTGTGTGTGATCCTTAATAGTGTTTTTTGGGTTGTCCAGGTTCAAGCACATGCAGATTCGTGTCAATGCAGAGCCAGCTGCTTTCTACAGGTAAGTGGTAGGCATGTTCGTTTCTTTATGTGCTCTTGGGCATCCTGCCATCTTGGAGCATCCTCACTGTAGTCATGTATTCCAGGGGAGTGAGAGTCCTTTTGCTGCTGCCTGAGCTTTCCTGTCCCCTCCATGCTGCTCCAGCTGCAGGGCCTCTGCTGGGTCATACAGCCTCCTTTCCCTGTCACTGTGTTCCGTTTGCGTTCTGTGCATTGTCTGCAGGAATAACTTCACAATAGCTGGGTCCTTTTCTCTCTCTCCCTTCCAACCGTTTCCAGAGCTTGACACAGATTTGATTATGGCTTAGAGACTGTTTCTGATGTTTTTGCCCTGGGCTTTACCTGGAAGATTGATCCAAGGTCTCATTGCATCCTGTCAGGATGTTCCCCTGGGAACTTTCTGCAAGTTGCTTCTGGCCCCATCCTGCTGCTGCTAGCCTGCATGTCCTCTGTGGGCACGCCACGCCGCTGCCTTGGCTCCTCATCGCTGCTTGCTTTTCTTGCTCTGTCTTTGCCCTGACCCTCCCAACGTTTTATTGGTATTCTCTGAATTCACTCCGTGCTATTTACATCTGGCTGTTACTGAGGTTTCCAGAGCTGAACGTGCTGTGCGGAGCCCAGCAGCACTTAGCTGTTTAGCAGCACCCTGAAGTCTGAGTTGTGGCTTGGAACCTTTATGCTATTGCACGGAAAAGGCTAGAATCCAGCAAAAGGGCCATAGTTTTACTGTGACTTTTGTTGGGGTGCCTGGTAGGTCAAAGTCTTTGTTCCTCTCTCCTCAAGCATCTGCAGTTGGCACGTACGTTGTGGAATCATGCTTCTTCCAGGAATTTAAGAAAGCACTGGCTGCCATCTCTCTGGCTTTTCCTGGCTGTGATCTGTATTTGGCTCATTAATGTTGTCATAATTGAGCACTTCAGGTGTTGAGGGCTTGTCCCCAAGGTAGCTTGATTCAAAAATCTCTGATTTTATAGAGACTTAAACTGGCAAGCAGGAACCTCCGTAACTGAAATCCTTTTGCATTGGCAAGTCCTAGTTCGTTCCTTGTGGGCTGGTTGGTTCTTATTGGTTGGTGCTGATTTTTGTGAATCAAGAGGATACTCTAAGTACATGCACTTATTTAAGCTGTAGTATTTTTTCCTCACATTTTTGAAGCTTCTTATTCTATTATTAAGTAGGAAACAGAAATGAATTATTATACTGGAAAATGGAGTTTCTTGCTTTAGTTTTATACAGCTCAGTAGTAGAAAAGCTTCATTTAGTTGGAAATCAAAATTTAATTAAAATGCACAAATCCATGCTTTCTTTTGTATGTGTCTTAATTACAAATACAGGAATCTTTTATGAGGGTTATTCCTAGAATTCTGCGAAAGGAGGAGCACTTGGTTGTGTCTGGTTTGGAGTGCCTGCCTTCTCTAGCTTGTAGAAGTTGCTAAAGCTTGTCCTCTTGTACTTGTCTAACTGTAGATTGTTTCGGTAAAGGAAGAAACAAAACCTGAGCATTGTCACCTTTTTATTTCCTTTGGTTTCTTAACTTGTCGCAAACTTGCTTTAGAAGTGAACTGACTGTGAGGAAAAGGTGACAGCAATAAACAATCTCTCTGCATCTGCAAAAGAAATAGCAGCTGCCTAATATTGGTTTTGCACCAGCTGAAACCTCTGATCCCCAGTGCCTTGCCTGTAACTCCTCCTGTTTGAGGCTTTGTCCTTCTTTGAATGTTCAGCAGCAAAGATTAGCGCTCGGTACTTAACTGAGATGGATATCACAAGCTGAAGGTTAATAACAGATGCCGAACTGAATTCTCAGTGCATTTCTTTTTCAGAAAGAGAATGTATTTATCTAAGAATTGAGAATCTTTAAAAATCTTATTTTTTTGTATGAATCCTGGTTTTTTTAATCTCCTCAGGCCCTAGTGCCTAGTTCCCATTTGCATTAATTGCAGTTATGCAGGAGTATGCATGAGTGCTAGGCACAGATGTATGGCAGGGTGGTACTGGCAATAGTGGTAATGGGGATTGCACTGAGCTCTGTCTATGTTTTGCCACCTGAGGGCAGCCCAGCCCTTGTGAATGAGCAGGAGGAGCTGCCCTGCTTGGCTGAGGAGGTGGCTGGGAGCTGGAATCCCGCTCCTTGCCGTGTGCTTAGCGCGAGGGGGGGGGGCAGGGCTGCTGGCACTGCAGGCAGAGAGGCCATGGGAACATCACCTCCAGCACAGGCGGTGGGGGCACCCACCGATCTCTGTGGGGGAGCTCCTGGCAAAGTAGGTCTTTGGGGCTGGGATCACCCAGGCCGGTGGCTGTGCCCCTTCCGGGCTTGAGCTGTGAGAAGGGCAGAGGTCGTGGATGTCCAATCCTGCTCCCCTGGGCTGGGGAAGGGAAACAGGAGGCCTCTGGCTCCTGGCCACACAGGCAGTGTTGGCCTGCCTTCACCTCCCAGCTCCCCTCTGCTTTCTCCCTCCTTTCTCCTTTTCCCAGCTGTGTGGCTGTGCTCCGCCCCTCTTCCTACCAGCCTCTGCTGAGAAAGTGTGTGCAGCCTTGGCTGTGCTCTGCTCAAGGGCTGGGTGTTCAGTTCTTGCTCAAAAAGAGCTGTTGCTTGGAAACTATGGTGCAGGCCCTTGCCAGGTCTCAGTCCTAGAGATCCATGCTTTTACCCCATTGCAGTGGCCTCAGGAAGTCTGTGACATGTTGCAATCTTACTTTACAGGGCTGGGCGAGTGGAGCACATGCGCACAGATCGCAGGCTGCAGAGCCTGCTGCAGACCCAGAAGGAGCTGATAGGGAAGGAGCTCTGGCTGTACAGTGAGTGGGGAGTTTTGAGGGTGAACTGGGACGTGTGGTAGCTCCATCGTGGTGGTCCACAGGCTTGGGAACCTGATGCTAGAGGAGCAGTGCTGGGTCATCCTTTCCCACCTCCTTTCCTCGAGGCTTCCTGGTGCAAGAAAGCCCTGAGAGTGAATAGAAGGTGCTGCCGCACTCTTAAATGGGAATCCTGTTGTAAAAACAGTCCGGTAGAGAGCAAAGCTGTGGAGGAACCAGCTAAGCTGAGGAAACCAAGCTCAGAAAGAGGAATATGCAGGAATCTGCACCCCTTTGTGGGGCAGGCATTCAGTGGTCATGAAGAGAGGAAAGTGCTTGGGCTCTAGGGAGAGAGAGGATTCAGTATGTGTGTGGCTGGGAGCACTACAGAGATGTCCTGTAGAGCCTCTTCCTTGAGTGTAGCTGTCACCAGAAAATCTCCTTTCTCCTATGGTCACTGGGTCCAGGTTTGTGGGTTAAATAACTGGTGTTAAGACAACTCTTCCTTATCTCATCATCATGGTGAGCTTCTGAGCACTGTAAGAGGGGAAGAGCCCTGCATGCAGGTACCTCTATGGGAGTTTGGGGTTTTAAGTCTTTCTGCCTCTCCTGTGCTCCAAGGCAGGCTTTGTGACCAAGCGTCCTGCCCCAGATCTTCCTTTGTGCCTCCCTGCTCAGTGGATGACTTTATCCCTGTTTCTTGGAGTCACCTGGGCCCTAAAGAGTAGAAACAAGTAGGCAAAGTGGCTCTTGCCCTTCATGGTTCCCAAGCTGTGTGTCTGGGTCATGTTTCCCCACTCTGGTGCCTTCCCCAGGGAGCTCTTTGCTTGGCAAGTAGGTTTGCACCCCAGTGCTTGTGCTCTCCTGTGAGATGAATTCCACATGGGAGCATTTTGAAGGGCAGAGGCAGGACATGGGTATCCCTGTGACTGGACTCATGAGCTACACTTGAGCCTGGATGTGACAGAGGTTCCCCCCTCCATCTCACTGTCTCCTCTCAATATGCTTCTGCCCAGTTGGCATCAATACCTTCGACTACCTGGGCAGCATCCTGAGTTACGTGGTCATTGCCATTCCCATCTTTTCTGGGGTATACGGTGACCTCAGTCCAACAGAACTCAGCGCCCTGGTCAGCAAGGTGAGTTAAGGATGATCTCCCAGACTGGGCCAGGGGAGAAGTGTGCTCTGTGGGTTGTGGTGGGTTGTATTTATTATCTGCACAGGTTACCCCAATGCCAGACGTGAGGCATCCCTGAGCTCATGTCTGTATGTTCATGCAGCTGGACTCCATCATGGAGGGTGAGCAGGTGCTGAGGATGGAGGTTTCGTGTTGGGCTGCTGGCAGTGGGGCTGGCTGACTTGCACTGAGTGACCTCCGGATAGGCTGTCCTTGCCCATGGTGGTATGGAAATGGGAGCTTGGAGCCAGCTAGTGTATGATTAACCTGGGGGTGAGAGGTGTCAAGGACTCATCTGCATAAATGTTTCAGACCCCTGCTGTGCAAAAATGGAAAGTCAAAAAGCTCTGGCTTTCAGTGGTGTCTGTGGGGGACTGGACCTACACTGTGCTGCAGATCTGGGTTCCCTGTTGCTGCTGCCCACAGGGAGCTCGACAGCCTACAAGGCTGCCAGACTGCTGGACAGGAGCCTTCACAGCCTGACTTGTTTCCAGCTATTCAAAACTACAGTGGAGAACAGAGAGCTAAAAATAGCTCAGCGAGCATTGCAGGCTGAGACACCCTGCTCTGAGCCATGTACAGCCCCAGCACATAGCTGGTGGGATGGATCTGCATGATGCCAGGAAAGAGCACGCTAGGCCCAGCACTGGCCAAGACTAGTCCCAGGGGGCAGGACATGCAGGCACTCTGGAAACAGCATCCCTTGGTGGGTGGGAGATGGGTCCCTCTCGCCAGAACTACTGTGCTGGGCAGGGAGGCCCTGCTCAGTCTTCTGAATACAGCCATCTATTTGCTCCCACTGCCATGGGCGACTTCTCCATCCCTCCTTCCTCCCGCTGGGACTGCTGAGCTGGCCGGATGTCTGGCCTCCTCGCAGCTGGGGAGGAAGGGGCAGCGTCCCAGCTCAGCTCTGACTCTTGCTCTGGTATGTGATTCCACAGAATGCCTTTGTTTCCATATACCTCATCAGCTGCTTCAGCCAGCTCATAGATCTCTCTACCACCGTGAGTGATGTAGCTGGCTACACACACAGGTGAGCTTGTCTGCAGGCAGCTATGTGCAGGAGAAGGGAGTGTGGGATACGACTCATTTAGCTCTGTGCTAAATACTTAAACACAGTTGCGTCTAAGTGAGCGTTGACAATAGTGAGTGCTGTGAGGAGGGAGGGCTGCTGGAGTTGTCCTGGGCACTCATGCAGCTTCTTTCTATCCAGGATTGGAGAGCTGCAGGAAACCCTGCTGAGCCTTGGCAGGAAAAAAAATGCTAACTACTCAGAAGTCAAAGCCAGCTGGGACTTGGACAGGTGAGTCTCCTCTCAGCAACGTGCTGGCTTGCAGCTGCATGCCAGAGTGTGGGACCATTGCTGGATGGAGGTGGCCTGTGGTGTCACAGCCCGTTGCATGTGGTTAGCTGGAGCAGGCAGCGTTGTGCTCGATGTGACCTGTCATTCCTGGGTGCGTGGGACAGGGCTACTGTCACAGAGGCACAGGATGTCTAAGGTGCAGGGAAGGTGTCTGATCTTTGCCAGCCTCAGCGTGATCACTTACCCCCAGATCTCTCCTCCTCTGTCTTGGTGGTGGCCTAGCAGCTATTCTGGGGAGGACCCAGTGCCGGGGGACACAGCTTTCCTTCTGGAGCAAGTGACGCTCTTGGTGCCATCTTCTGGTAAGCTGCTCATCAAGGACCTGAGCCTCAGGATCTCACAAGGGAACAGCGTGATGATTGTGGGGAACACTGGCACTGGGAAGACGTCTCTCCTGAGGATCCTCGGGGGACTCTGGGAGAGCACGCAGGGTAAGGGCTACCACTCTCCATGACCCCCCTCTTGCTTGGCCAGGGCTGCTCTTACTGAGTTTAGAAGGTGGCAGTATGGGGTTGTAAGGCCAGCGCCACTTGTAATGGTAAGTGTGACACTGGTGCACTTGAGCCACCACTTCTCTGTATTGCTTTCTCTGGCTTTCTTTGCTTTGCTGTGTTACAGATCTGCCTTTTCTGACATTTGTTGGCTAATTCGCAAGACTCTCTATCATAGGACTGTGCAGGGGGTGGTGGGGAGCTGCTGGCTGGTGCTGCAGGCTTGGCATGAGTGTGTCTCTGTGCAGGGAATGTTGAGATGCTGACGTGTTTTGGCCCCCACGGAGTCGTGTTCCTGCCGCAGAGACCGTTCTTCACCGATGGAAGTCTACGTGAGCAGGTGAGCCGGGGGCCAGCTCCATGGGCTGGCTGGCTAGCTGAGCTCAACGGGGCTTCTCAGGGGCCAGGTCAGACCCTTTGAACCTCTGTGCTGTAGAGAGACTGGCAAGAGGGGGGACGTGTGTGGGTGGCTGCTTCTTCCCTCATGCTGAGTTTGGGCCACCACTGTTGCGTCTGTGGTGTACTCTGTGTCCAGCTCCCTCTGACATGGCTCTTTTTGCTCTCTTGATCAGGTGATCTATCCTCTGAAGGAGATCTATCCAGTTTCAGGTGTGTGGAAATTCATCAAAGCAACTAACCAACCATGTGGTCTCAGCTCTCGCTGTCCTGTGCCCAACCCCCATCAAGAGTGCTAATCCATTTCACTTTTGTTGCTTTCAGCTTTTCCCTGGAAAATTCAGCTTTCTGTAGCTTAAGATCCAGCTCTGTGTTCCCTCACTTTCAAGGTGAATATATCATCTTGATAGTATGAGGTTGAGGTGGTTATAGCACAGCATGCAGAGCACAGTGTGGTATATGTTGAGGCACCCTGCTGCTTTCTGAACTTGCTCTTGGGTTACATCTGATCTGTCTGGTACAATCTGCCTTTGGGCAAGCCATGCTTGCCTTTATTTCATTTTCTATTCACCTTCATCTTTAATTGTTCCTTTTCTTCACATGGTGTCCTGGGGCCTTGCATACTATCATGTTTAGACTAAGTGGATCCTTTCTCTCCCCTGCCTTCCTCCCAAGCCAGAGATTGTACATCTGATCAGAAGCTGCTGCAGCCTGCAGTTACCCAGGTTTAAGTTTCTCTCTGAGTGATACGTGCTGCTTTCAGACATTTGGCGGCAGCTGCAGCCTCAAAGAGAATGAACTGTAGCCATCAGATATTCTTGTGGATCTTTAGTAGCTTCAGAGGGGCCTATGGCAGATACATAGCCCTTCTGCTCAGCTTCGACCACTGGTGACTGCACTAGCTCAGGTGTCTGTTCTGCTCCCCAGCTGGTTCACCCTAGCCCTTAGATTTTTCCTGTGCTATGTGGGATCCTTCTGCTGGCTGTTCCCCGTGCTTTGATCCTGTGACTCCACCACCTGCAGTGTCCGGAGCAGCCAGGCATAAGACAATGGCCGATAGGCAGGGCCTTGGCAATTGGAGTCTGGATCCCTGTGTTGCTGTGCCCATCTGCGGCCACAGACTGAACCAAGTCTCAGATGCATCTGTGGAGCGTAGCCTCCTGTCATCCTACTCACAGACATGGTTAACATATTTAAAGAAGGCCGGTCTCTGGGAGCTGTCTGTGGGTCAAAGCTCAGGACCTGATATATTAACTGGTTGAGACATCAGACCTCAGGAGACCCATTCACCAAACCCTCCAGGGAAACCAGGGAAGCTCCTGCCCCTTGCTGTGACTCTTCCTTGCTCCTATGGCCTCAGCACATGTTGCTTCTGCTGAGGCACTTTCTCCCCTAGGGTCTGCAGATGATGAGAGAATTGTGCGGTTCCTGGAGCTGGCAGGGCTGGTAAGTCCCTAGTAGAGTTGCTCTGCTCTGGCCTAATGCTGCCAAGGTGGGGGAAGAAGGGATGAGGTATTTAATCAGGACAGCGTGACCATGTGCTGGACAGGTGTGGGGGAATTGTTTGCAGCTGGGACAGGACTGTCCATGGGAACAGCAGGGGAGGGGGGATATCAGAGCGACTTCAGATCAAGTGGGAAAAGGCAGAGTAGCAGGGAGGAGGTGGTTATGCTCAGCGCTGTCTGCTCTGGGCTGCCATGGCTGGGGCTACATTCACAAGTCTCTGCTCTGCTCTCTGCAGTCTGATTTGCTGGCACGAGCTGGGGGACTGGACCAGCAGGTGGATTGGAACTGGTAAGGGAGCTCACCATCTGTGTGAATTTGGATGATCCCTCTGCTTGGGAACGTTTCTGAGCAGATGCCCATTGCTACTGGACTTGTGACTGTCTTCTGTGTCCAGATGTGCCTTGCAGGTGATGGGCCCGATGCAGGGACAAAGGCTTCTTGCCCCAAGCCTCAGTGCCAATGTCACCAGCCACATTGCTCTCAAGGCAACCGACTGTGCTCAGGGGTGCACGCCCAGTCACATGCTGCATTTGAGAGCCCAGCCTCGAGGGGAACTGCCCTGAGAGTGTGCGTGCATGTGGAGGGAGGAGCAGGGGGGACACACAGGGACAGCTGCTTGCTGTAGTCTCTGATATCAGTAACCATAAGCTCTTCAGCAAATGAGCTGTCTTCATGGAGGGAGATTGAGTGTTGACCCTGCTGTAGGTATGATGTCCTGTCCCCAGGAGAGATGCAGAGGCTGTCATTTGCACGGCTCTTCTACCTCCAGCCCAGATATGCAGGTGAGCGAGTGACCGCAAGCTGGACAGACTAGCAAGGCCTTTGGTGTAAAAGGAAACAGGAACAAAGACACCTCATGAATTCCCTTCTCCTTTGCCAGGAACATGCTTGGTCTTAGTCATGATTTTAGGTAGAGTAGCACACAGAGGATTTAGAGGTGAAAACATTTCATTATGTGTGTGGAAGGAGGTAAAACAGATTAAATTTATCTGCTCAGGATCTGTGGTATTTCCCTTAACTGACAGGAAGCTGCCACAAGCTGTCCTGGCTCCTGCATGTAGGGTCCCAGCCAGAGGGGTGAACAGGTTGCAGTTCAGCCAGGGACTCTGGCCCACAGCCCTTCTCTCACAGGACTCAAGGGGGGGTCGCATCTTGACTTTCACAAACATGGAGATGAGGCAGTGGCTGGCAACCGTTGAGGGAGATGCATGAGGTGAACTGCACTGTGTGGTGGGTGGGTTTGAGGGCTTGTGGAGAAGGCCATCTTTCCCACCTGGCTAACAGCAGTGTGTTAGTGTGTCAGGTAAACAGGACCTTAGGCTTCTCCTTATTTGCCTTCTACAGTTGCTGTTGGTGAGCTCTGGTTAGTAAGTGCAGTGCTGTCAGCCACTGCTGCTCCTTTGCCAGGGGTGGGAAAGAGATTACAGACTGGGGGGGTGGGCTTTGTGGAGTTTACAGCTTTTCTCATAGTGCTAGATGAAGCCACCAGTGCCCTGACAGAAGAGGTGGAGCACGAATTGTACCGTGTGTGCCTTCAGCTGGGCATGACGTTGGTCAGCGTGGGACACAGAGCCAGCCTGGAAAAGGTGAGATGGGGGGGCAGCACAAGCCTCCCTGCTGGTGGTGAGACAGGGCAAGCAGCAAGGGTCCCTGATGAGCAGAGAGGCATGAGCAAGGCTGGAGAATGTCAGTATGGGAGGATGGGAGGACACACCCTTACAGAGACATCGCTCAGTCACTGTGTTTCTGAATTGCAGTTCCACAGCTGGATTTTGAAACTTCATGGGGAGGGAAGATGGGAGCTCACACGATGCGAGAAGATGAAGCGTCTCCCAGCTGGGGAAGGATGCTGAAAAGCATGCCCTACTCTGACCAGCTGCAGAACCCACCCACCCTTGCGAGAGCTCCGAGTAGCAGACGTGGAGCTGCAGAGCCAACAGCTATCAACAGGGAATCAGTTCGGTGCAAGACCATTTCTGGATTTTGCTGCTGGGATCCAGGGCCAAGTCTGAGCTCATTGTGGGGTTCTGCCAGGAGCAGACAAGTCTACCCAACCCTTCTCCCTGCCTGCTGTTCCCTCCTCTCTGCTTCTCAAGGGGAAAGAGGCTGAGTGCTAGGCTGCAGAAAGAGAAGACACCACCTCTTGGAGCTGGTAGAAGCAGTGGGCCACCTCCACTTGTCCAGAAGGCAGTGTTGCATGGCTGGATGCAGGCTGCTGCTCTCACCTCAGTGACCTCGGCCTCTTTGATATGCAGCTCTGCAGAACAGACTTCAGTACCTGTGGCAGCAGCCGTGGTCAAAGACTTGTCCTAAGGGGAGGAGAATGCTGGCAGAGAGAAGGGCATATCTCTGCTTTCCTTATTACACAAGGTTACTGGTCAAAGGAACATTTTTGTATTAAAATCTGGGGCCTGTTGGCCAAAGATTTATGGAGAAGAGTCAGTATTTGTCAACCAGGCTGCTGTATCTGTCCTTCTGCTGTTTGGAGGAAATGCTTTCATGTTGGCAGTGGTCTCGAAGTAGACTATTGCTGAAGAGCAGAGCAAGGGTAGGAGTAATATACCTATCCAGGGCTGGCCACAGCATCCTGCCCTGTTCCTCACTCCACAGCTACTGCAAGGCACAGTGAGCATCAAGGAGGGCTTTTGGCCCTCTGCTTTTGGGGAAGGAAACATCTGTACATGTTGCAATAAAATATCTCCCATCTCGCACATGCGTGCAGAGGCAAAGGTTTTGAGGATCTCTGTGTTACGGAAAGTTTAGTTTGAGACTCTGCTGTGGAGATTCAGTCTCTGTCACTTAGCGAGCACCGGTTGCCCAGTGATGTTTCTGGGCCAGGCCCTGATTTTTACGGTGAAGGGAGAGAAGGTGGCTGCAGGGAGAACCAAGCTAGTAGCTCCTCTGCCCCTCCACTAGGCGCTTGTGTCTCTCTATGATCTGCTGCACAGCTTCATAGTCATCTAGGGTAGTGAGGTCTCCAAGTTCACTGGCCTTGTCCTCCACGATCTTCCTTAGCACCCGACGCATAATCTTTCCGGAGCGCGTCTTGGGCAGCCTGTGTGTGACCTGTGACAGGAAACAGCAGAGAAAAGGCTGAGGGAATGTAGGGGTGGGTCTTGGACAAGCCTGTAGGTGTTACCTGAATGTAGTCTGGAGCTGCATACTTAGCAATCTTCTTTGAGATCAGCTCTCGTAGCTCAGCAGTAAGAGTCTCCTGTGTGTAGCCGCTATCCTTCTTGAGCACAACAAATACATAGGCTCCTGGCAGAAGGACCATCACATTACTGATGACAACAGGCAGTGTGTGTTCCTGCAAGGCTATGTGGGCCTAGTGCCAGGAGAAGTGCTTCTCTGCTGGTTAGCCTCAGGGAATGCTTTGCAACCTCAGCTATAAATGCTTTTGGCCACAGTGTTGCTCTCTTGGTGTTTCTGCCTTATGCAAAACTGAGCTGGTCTCGTGTGTAGGTTGCAGTGACTGATGTGACTCCCAGTAATGTGCTGTACTATGGGGGTGAGTATGATAGTGCTACTTGCTGCTGCAGGACATAAGCCATGGGAGAGGGATTTCAGGAGCAAGAAAGCAAGTGCCTCACCTTCTCCCTTGATCTCATGCGGGTAGCCGATCACAGCAGACTCTGCCACTGCCACGTGGTGATTCTGGAACAGAACAGGGCTGCGGCTCAGTTCAGTGCTCTTGGCAGACTAGCTGCTGCCTAGGAACTGCAGTGGTCACGTGGAGAGACAGGGAAGGGCCTCAGATGGCCTTTGCTCTTTTCCCTTCCTGCCTCAGCAGATCTGTTTGCAAAGACCAGTCCCTGCCTCTGACTGCTTTAAGCTTGTGCCTCCTAGAGCCTGTTCTGTGCCTTCAGGCTGCTCCAGCAGGTCTCATAACCCTTACTGGCCCATAGATGTGCCCTGGTATCTCACAGGGATGGGGAAGGGCACGCCACTGAAGTGCCTGCTTGGCTGCCAGTTTGGAATTCACCTGCTTACAGCATGAAGCTTATTAGGCTTTGTCCCTCCCTTGCTGCAGAGGCCAGGGAGACGTATGGGACGAGCTGAGCTAAATGTCTTGACCTCAGCACTAAACCAATTAGACCCGGCAGAGGAAGGGGGAGTTTAGTGCTGGGCATAGCACAGCCATGGTATAGATTAGCTGGGGACATCCCAGAGCAGAAGGAAAAGCCTAACCCTTGCTAAGGTGGTGGCAGCAGTGTCAGGCCTGTGTTACGCAGAGGGAAGAGTCCGGGGGAAGGAAGTCAGGAGCAGAGCTAGAAAGAGAGGGAGGTTGTTTCCACAGGCAGGCAGTGGTCCACACTGCTCCCTGCCGCTAAAGCGGCAGAATGTTTTTGGCCTGGTATTTCAAAGGGGCTTCTCTGAGTGCTACTGCCTCCTTGGACAGCTTTACCTCCTACCCACACCTCTTACCACAACATCCTCCACCTCTGCAGTGCCCAGCCGGTGCCCACTGATGTTGATGATGTCATCCAGCCGTCCTGTCAGCTGGTAATAGCCCTCACTGGTACGATAAACACCATCTCCAGTGAAGAAAAACCCTGCAGTGGCCAGAGCCCTCAGTCATTTGTTGAGCATGAGCAATCCCCCCACTTTCTTCCCTTGCTGTTCTCTGGGATGTAGTAGACCCCCTTCTCCCCTCAGTCAGCACGAGGGCTTGTGCACTCTGCTTCTTCCTCTCAAACACTCGGTGTGAAGGTGCCTACCTCCCTTGCTAGTCTTTTGCCTCAGTTGGTACCTGGCGCATCATGAGGGCCTCTCCCTAATTCTGCTATGTGTTGGCTGATACCAGACCTTCATCATCACTGTGAACCTCAGGCATTTTGCCCTAGTATAGCGCCCTGAGGTCTTGCTACTTCTCCCTTTGCCTTCATGTTGGAAAACCCACGCTCTTGGGTTTGCTCAGTGCCTCAGGATGGGTAACAGGAGCTTACAGGATTTACAAGACAGAAGCACCAAGAGGCTTCTGCCTTGCTTGGGGGTTTCTGGGGCAGAAGGAAAAATCCACTGTCCTAAAAAAAAAATGTGTCCCTGGGGGGAAGGTGGATTAGAAAGGCCCATTCCCATGAGAGTACTGGGACCTGAGGCATGGTGAGATGCAGAGCCTCGGCACAACTGAAATTCTGTGAAAGAGCAAAGTAGCAAGGCCATCTCCCCCAAGTTCCACCCCTGGGCAAGAGACCAGCAGTCAGACTGTACCCAGCCCAGCACCCCCTCAGTGACCTGCCTCTCATTTTCCTTACCTGGATAAGGAGTCAGGTAGGTTTCCAGAAATCTCTTATGATCATTATAAATGGTTCGTGCCATACCTGGCCAGGCCTGAGAGATGCAAAGGGCTCCAGAGATATTGTTTTCTAGAAGGACATTTCCCTGTGAAATAGTTAGCCTTTTTAATAACTGTGACTGAGAGATAATTGGGATGTTCCGTCATTGCCTTACTTCTGCAATTATGCCCTGCAACAACCCCCTACCAGAAATGCCAGAGAAAACAGTGAGGAGAGTCCTGTGTACCCAGCTCCAAGGGGGCAGGCCGTGTCTCTCCCAGTAGAGCTCTGCCACCAGCTGCCTACTATACTGGGATGCACAGCCCCTCCAGCTAGAAGCCCAGCTACCTCAGTAGGGCCTTAACTCCTCTTTCTTATTTTGAGTACCAGTAACTTGTTTTAACCAGAGCTGCTGGCACAGTTAAATGTAGCACAGTCCCGGGGTGCTGGAAAGCTAGGCCAGGGAGCCTTAGCAGAGTGTCGCTTCAGGACAGAGCAGTCTAGAAAATAGCAATTTCTACACCAGTTGGAAGAAGTTGCCACCAGTGTCATCGTTAATCCCATTCCAGTAAAGAAGGTTGCTGGCTAACAGAGGTGAGAAGGAAAGGCACACCTGTAGCTCTCCACTCCCTTCAGCAAGTACAGGCTACAAGGAACTGTGGGAAAGTGGGCCAGTGTCTGAGCTGCAGATTATTAAGGTACCTTATCGTCCAGGAGGCAGGGGCTGATCCCAAAAAAGGGTCTCATGGCCATGCCTGGAAGGATCTCATCTCCAGGATTAGAAGGACGGGGTGAGATACAGATGCCTCCTGTTTCTGAAACGAACAAGAAAGCAGTCTTCACCGAAGGCGGGAAGAGAAGAAAGCCAGGTAATACTACCGAGACATCAGCCTTCACCTTGAACGTCGCTACGCTCTGCTGGACCGTAGGCTGGGCCTGGGCTTGCCAGAGACAAAGTCATTTGGACAAAGAGCTGAGAAAGGCTCTTTGTAGGAGGACGATCCTGCTTATTTACTTTAGCAGAGATCTGCTCCCTGCAGTCTACTTCCCCAGGTTTCTCTAGGTTAGTTTTAAAGATCTCTGTCACGTTTTGATGCCCATGGCCTTTTGTCTTATGGGATTGCTCATACAGGTGTGACTGCTCCCTCTTGGGGGAACAGTCTTTAGGCTTACTCCTAAAGCTTGGAAGAAGAGAAGCTGGCCATGCCTGGAACAAAGGGTCTTATGCATCTTACCAGTTTGCCACCACGTGTCCACTATCGGGCACCGTGCTTCGCCAACCACACGGAAGTACCACTCCCATGCCTCCTTGTTGATAGGTTCCCCCACTGCAAGGGGAAAGGCAGAGGGACAGAGCTGAAAGGCCAGGTCAAAGCCACAACAAGGCAGAGCCATCCTTGCAGTAAGCTACTACTGCTTTAATGGCCTCTCCTCCTTTTCTGCTGCACTTGGCACTCATGGGGAGAGGCCCTCTCCTGGCTGTTTTACTCTCTGAGAGCAGCACAACCTGATGCCGAGGGTCCAGCCCAAGGATTTGCTGATCCAGCCCATGCCACCAGCGCTTACCTGAGCCAAGAACCTTGAGAGAAGAGCGGTCATATTTCTTCACCCATTCATCACCATATCTCAGAAGGAGGCGGATAGCAGTGGGCGCCCCATAGAACTGATTAATTTTTAACCTCTCTACTGTTTCCCAGTAGCGTCCTGGAACAGAAACAGGGCCAATAAGCACAGGTTCCTCCAACCTGAGCCCAAGATAGGGAGAGAGGAGGTAACAGCAAGGGCTCTCTAGCAGTATGTGAGCCAAGCTGAGCTCCCCAGGGCAGGACTGAGCAGTGGCAGTCCAAGAGGAGCAGTAGCCTCTTTCCTTCCACATGACCTAGCTTCACTGCTCTCCCTGCTGCAGGGAGGGATAGGGAGAAACAGCATCATCCATGGAGAAATAACAATGACTTCCTAACAAGAGAGAGAGACACTTCCTCTAGCAGCTCTGCCTGCTCCCGCTACATGTGGCACGGTCCATAGTCTCCACTGAACTGTTCTACTGTCAGACTCCCATCACTCCCACAGCAGCAGAACCAGTGATCCCTGTGAACTGGCATTCAGGCCTTCCCTTCTCATGCCATTCTGCATGGCAGAGATGCAAAACCTTGCTTGGCATCAGCACAGTCGGCTCCTTGCCTGCTGCAGTTCTGGCAAGGTGATGCTACATTTCCTTGCTCCCACAAGTTGCCTTCTCACTCACCAGGGTTGGGATGGACAGGAGTGCTCTCAAAAAGGACTGTTGTGCCACCATTGCAGAGGGGGCCGTAGACCACATAGCTGTGCCCGGTGATCCAGCCAATGTCTGCCACGCAACCAAAGATGTCCCCATCCTGGTAGTCGAACACATACTGAACAAGGGAGGACAGGCAGTGAGTGGTGTAGCCTGGATGCAGGACCTTCCCTCCTGCCAAAGGGGATGGGGGGGGGGGGGCACTGAGATCAGTGTACCCTCCCAGCTCTAGTGCTATTGCTCACTGCATCCCTCTGCCCTCCCACCACGCCCAGCAGTGGCACCTTGTCCCCGCAGAGAGTTTTTTTAAATATTATCAAAAAAAAAAAAAGTAATTCAAATTCAGGTGCTTTATGAATGCACAAGAGAAGAGAAACAAATTTTTTAAAAGCCACAGGCAAATTTGCTCTTTTCCCTGGAGGAGAACAGCAGAGGAGAACTCAAGCACTCTTATGGCTGGAGACCATTCAGGGTGAGGATGATCCCTCTGTATCCACATGACTGTATGGAAGGAGAGGAATTGCAGGCATAGGCAATGTGGTAGAGGATGCTCATGAGCCACCTCCAGACACTGCTGGACTCCACACTCCAGACACTGCTGGACTCCACACCCGCTGTGGAGTCCTGAGCACAGCAGAGAGCTCAGCAGAGGAGCACTGAGGCAGCAAACAGAGCTACCTGTGGGACAGATCATGCCACAGTGCCATTACACAGCCAGCAGTACAACCCCCCTCAAGCACTGTGCTCTGAGAAGCTCTGCTCTCCTCAGGCAGGATGTTGTGAAAGAGAAATTATGAAGGACCTGCAGTGGTCAGCGGAGCTGCTCAGTTCAAGGAGGAGAGGAAGCGATTGTGGCACCGTACATAATAAGGGCGAAACACGTGTTGGGGGTTCCTTCCCTTCCCCCAAAATACCACAACAGAGCACAGTCAATGAGAATGAACAGCAGTTAAGGTGAACCTGATAAGGTCCTTCCTAATCACTGCTGAGGGACCCCTGAGACAGATCCCTAGGGTTCCCTGTGCCTTTGCCTCTCACCTTCCCTGCTGGAATGAGCAGCTCTGACCTCTTGCCCACCCCTCAGACTATCCCTAGACTATAAGACTAAGCAGGGTCTTTCCCCGTCACCTACTATGTGCAACCCAAGTGCTACTGCTCCCATTTTATGAGAAGACCCATTTTATTAGAGGCTAGATCCCTCCCTCAGCCTGGAGCCACCCCAGCTGCCCCCTGGAGCTGACACCTCTCTGGGTGCTGAGCTCACCCTCTCAGCTGGGTGAGCTTGGCAGAGAGCAGGACATGCCCTCGTTTCCTTTGCCTCATGTCTTCCTCAGAAGACCCCTGGCTCTAAGGCTGGAGTACTGGGAAATAAAGTCTGTTCTATGCAGGACAGGATTTACAGCTGTCAGAGTGACAGCAGCAGGTCTACTTTCCTCAAGGACTTGTCATTTCCTTTGCTCAATGCCAGGAAAGTTCCTAGGGACCCGACTTCTACTAGCCCATTGTTTCTCGCCTTTTACTCTGGAATCTGCTATTTCAGACCTTCGTATCTCTTATTACTGTTCCTGGTGTGCAGGGTGCCAGCTCCCTGTGAGGGAGAGCTGGCCAGGGCCTCACGTGCTCGAGGGAATTGGTCATGGAAACTTTCCCTGCTTGGTCTGTCTCTCTTTAACTCAGCAGTGAATTATGGCAGCAGCAGTCTGCCACATCCAAATGAGGGAACTGAGCAGTAATTAATGCCAACCCTGTGTCATGTTTTCCAGAGCACCTGGGTGCTAACACAGCCACATGCTGCTTGCTCCCTGCATTTCCATCCCAGGATAGAAGCCCCACCGCTCACAAACCAACTCTGATGTGCTGGGGTTCCCAAATCAGGCGTTTCATGCTGAGCTCATGCCAACAGGACAAATGCACAACAACAGGGCACTTGAGAGGGTTAAGCATCATGCTGGGTACAGCTGTACAGATAGTTTAGCTCACAGCAAAGCCAATGGCTTCCACACATCTCCTCCCTCCTTCCGCAAGGCATATACCCCACAAAGTCTGGCCTCCAGCATTTCTGACTGACAGAGAGGCCCCAGCCAGCACTGAGTTTGCTGTCCCATAGGGTGCCTGGTCTGAAAGACTATTGAAACTGGCCTGGCCATGTAGAGGGAGAGCCAGACCCAAAGTAAAGGGAGTGTTTGAAGAACACTCCTTCTTCCAAGGCACTCTATTTAATGTCTTAGAAAAGACCTCTCCCCCAACCGCTTGGAGGGACTCCTGAAGCCAAGTGCTGCTTCATACTGCACTCAGTGCCCTTTTATCCAGCCCAGTTTGCTTTGGGAATACTGCCGCAGGGATTAGAGGCTTTCCTCTTCTTAGAATTGATCCACACTGTTCAGGTGTGGACTCTTTGTTTTTAGGGCACTCTCCAGTTTTTGCAGATATCCCCAGATTTGCCTCTCCCAGAAACACTACCTTTGATCTCCCACCTGAGCTAGGATAGTTAGGCTTAGGGGAGAAAATCTGGGGTTTCTGGAGCAAATTGGCTACTTCCTCATCACCCATCAAAATAAACTTTCTCTGGCAAGGCTGAGCCACCCAGCCAGTGACTCAGAATAGGATAGGGCAAGGAAAGAAAGAACACAGGCCAAAAATGTAGCTTGTAGGGGTATATGTTGAGGAGGCCCTATTCCAGACCACATGTTGCTCTCCCCCACTACCTGGATGGAGATGCACTCCACAAGGACTCCCAAAGACTCTGCTCTGGATAAAGGTGTGTCTTTGTGCAAGAAGATGGCAGGTCTATTCCCAGCACTGCCTATGAACCACTGGCTCATGAGTGCTCTATGCCTGGGATTCATTACCTTGTGTGTGAGGGCAGCATAGAGCAAGTAACCAGCTTGGGTATGGACCAGGCCCTTGGGTTTGCCAGTGCTGCCTGATGTGTAGAGAAGGAACAACATGTCTTCGCTGTCCATAGTGACAGGCTCACAACACGCATCCTCTTTCATCATTTCCTGCAACAGAGACCATAGCAGTCCTAATTCAGAGTCTCTCAGGTTTCCCTGTTTTGTCCACACACCTGCTTGGTTCATTAATCATTTGCTGGAGTCAGTAGTCCACTACAGTGCACTTCACATAGGCACACTTTTGGCTCGCTCCTCTATTAGTCCACACTGACTGAGCCCACAAAGTCAGGTCTGGCAGTGTGGCAGCACTGAGCAACACAATGACAGTCTTGGCTTCTGCATAGCACTGCTTACATCCCCAAAACACCTCCTTATCCTGGCCTGGCTGGAAGTGGCAGGAGACTGCACCTCAAAAACATGTCTGCACAACACACTCCACCAGCCAGTCCAGGCCCCAGCTCACAACAGCCCCAGCTCACAACAGCCCCAGCTCACTTGCCTTCTCTTACGCCTGCTGCTGGGTGTTGCAATTTCTTCTTTACCGCATCTCTCGGATCTGTCCCCAGAGTGAAAGTTGAGCCTACACCTCAATTAATTGTCACTTTAACCACTGGATCCTCCATTTCTCCCCATCCAGTAGATGTCAGATGCTGCTGCCTATAACCATGCAATTTGTCCACCACCAGATTCCTTCACTGGCTTCCTTTCATCAACTGATCAGGACTTCTTCTCCCACAGGCCTTGCCCACCTCTCCTCCAAGTCTTCTTCTGACCACCTGTAACACCCTACTCCCAATGTCTGATCCTTCTCTGCTTTTGTACCTTCTCTCCCTCTGCTCAAGAGTTTGAACTCTCTTTTGCCTTGGTGAGCTGGCAAAACACTCTCCTCAGAGGAGATCTGCTGAGTAAGAGACAGCTATTTTTACACTGTCACTTCTTGGACCAGCAAAGAAGTCTTCCAGGAAGCCTTTCTAATGCTAATTGATTTCAGACATGATGAGCACAGACAGAGAGAACTCTACTCAGTTCCAGGGAGCCAACAGAAACGCATGACAGGGTCTCACCTCTACAGAAGGAGTCAGTACTTCATCCTGGCAGCCTGGACATCACATCTGCCATGAATAACAGGCACACAACCACACTACCTGCTCACCTGGGCACAAGCTGCCAGCTGTACTCACAGAGAGTGCCAGGTACATGAGCAGAGCTGTGTGTGATCTCTGTGGGAGACCAGGGCTGGGCTCACAGCAAGTGCATCGGCATGGGGCTGGGGGGTTTTTTAGCTCCTGGTCTACACTGTCACAGGCTCTTGTTGGTGCTGCCTGCCCCTGACAGTAGAGGGATGGTGCTGTGGGAAGGCTGACAAGTTATCCCTCCTGAGTGCTCCAGGGACTGTCCTGGACTCACAGGCAGCTCTCGCTCTCACTGCTGCTGCAGGACACCATCTCCCTCCGCTCCCAGAGTGCACTATCCAGGGGACGTGGAGTAATTCTGGGCAGCCTCTCACCTCCTCCAGCGGCACATCCAGGGCTGTCATGGGAACTTTGTTGTCAGTCCTCATTGAAACTAGAACACGTTTCACTCCTGGGCACTGCTTCACAGCCTCGTCCACCATCTTCTTCAGCTCAATGACCTTGCCGCCTCTCAGCCCCTGGTTCACTGTGATCACTGTCTCTGACTGGGCTGGAGAGGGCAAAAGAAGAGCCATGTAAACAGCTCTGCCCCTCACCACCTGTCACACACCAGTCTGGCTCTATCATGTACCCAGCATTTCCTACCCTGCTCCTCTCACTCCATCTCCCAGTCCATTACTCATATCATTTAACAAAAGCAGTGGCTTTTTATCTTTGTTTCCCATTCATTGCTGCCTTTGTTATGCCTCCTCAGAGGAGAAGCTGTACTCCAGCCCCTCACTCCCTTTGACGAAGGAAAGAACCGGTCCACCCCTCCCTTATTGCAGGAAAGCTCAGCAGGCCACTGCTGCTCAGAGGGGCTTATGCGGGTCCATTGCAGCTAGGCAGAGTCCCACAGGCTGAAGAATATTTAGTGAACCCATGACACCTCCTGGGGTACCAATCCCTGCTCCATGGCCATATATTATGGCAGGACACCCTCACCTAGCCCAGCGAGTCTTACTCAGAAGCACAATCTGTACCAAGCCTACACCTTGGCTGGGCTCTGCTTTGGTGTCATGGCTTGAGAAATTTGCCACTGGCAGTCTTGGTTGCAGGAGGCTACAGGTATAGTCATCATGCCCCGAGCTTCCCAGCTATGGAACCAGCAAGCTCAGTAGTACTCAGCAGTCCCCAAAGGGATACATGGGATGCGCCCCTTTTACCTACTGGCTCTTACCATCCTGGATCCTGTCTGCCAAGGACTCCGCACTGAACCCAGCAAACACCACAGCGTGCACAGCCCCTATCCGGGCACAGGCTAGCATGCTGGCCACAGCCAGCGGGCATGGGGGCATGTAGATGATGACCCTGTCACCTCGTTTCACCCCTTGCCGTTTCAAGGTGTTTGCAAGGCGGCATGTCAACTCCAGCAGCTCCCTGCTCAAAGAAGCAATCATGTAGTTAGAAACTTTCTTTCAGATCTTACCCACGTGCATGGCGGGGGGGACCTCCCTCCTCTTGAGAGCTTTTCAGAGTTGCAGATACACAGCTTACATCCCTAAGCACCCTAATCTTCCCCTACACTGGAAGCCCATGGGAGAGCTGTGAACATGTCAGTGGGAAGGAAGGGAGGAAGCAGTCACAAACGTGGGCTATTACTCATGGAGATGAAATAAATCAGAATGACCTCTGCCTCTGTATAGAGCCTTCCTCTGATCCACACATCACTAGCCAGTGCTAGAAGCAGGCCAAAGGGCTAGCAATGGCCACTGGTGAGTCCTGTGGCTCAGCAAATTCACACCACCTCAGTCATCTTGTTGGCTTTTCCCATTAGGGCCTGCACTTCTCTCATCAGCCCACACAACTGCAGCAACACTTTCTGCGCTGCAACACTATGGGACATGCAGGAACAGTTAGGTATCTTCCCCCTCCTGCAAAAAAACAAAACAAAATAAAACTGTGCTTTGTTAAAGCTGGGAAGGCCAAGTCTTCTGGAGCTTGTGCACTACCAGAGAGAACAACAGCTGTAGCAAACCAGTGAGCAAAACAATGGCTTTCCCAGAGGAGGAGCGTCACTCCCAGAGACAAAAGCTTGGCTGTCAGTGACTCGTTTCTTGGAAGGTCTCTCCAAAACTAGATGGGGAGATTGGTGGGGAAAGAATGGTCATTTGTCATGTGAGGCCTGGAGCCAGATGAAACAAAGGACTTGTTCTGTGTGAGGAGAGATTGAAGTGGAAGCTGCATGGAGACTCAGAGAGCAGGTAAGCAGAGCAGGAAGGTTAGAGTTCCCAGACCAATCTGCAGGGTGGGACAGGCAGTCTCTGCAGAGATCCAAGCCCAGCAGCAAAGACCATTTATGCATGAGCACTTAATTTCCCAATACCCATGGCCACCACTGGTTCCAGCAAAGAGTAGGGCCTTTCCTGCAGCTGTGAATCTGGCCTCTCCTGCAGAGCATTTACCTGCAAGTTTAGGCACCAGGAACACTGCTGGGAACACACATATGGGGCTCTCCCACAGAGTCTTACCTATAAGCATTGCAGTACTGTCAGGAGAAGTTTGTGTCTGCCTCCCCAACTGGGTAGGAACTGCTCAGGGACCAGAGGATTAATCAGGGGGTAGGCTGAATTCTCAGATGTGCTCAGGCAAGCCAAAAGCCACCTGCTGTTGATCTCTCTAAGCTAAGGGATGCTGTATTGCTCAAATGACACACATCAGCAGATCAGTTAAGCCCTGTGCAGCACTGGTGCAGGCTGCAATATGTCTCTTGCGCACACTCAGAGATAAGTACCCACCTGTAGGTGACCTGCACCTGCTTCCCTGGTTCATCCTTCTCCCAGATTAAGGCCACTTTGTCTGGGGCTACGTGGACATGTCGGTCCAGACAATTCACTGGAAGAGAAGACCCACTGTCATTGCTGGGGCAACTCTCAGTACCTTTTAACTCCCAGAAAGCCAATACTAGCAGTCCCATTTTCAAATTACACTGAGGGCTGAGTGGGATTTTGCTTGGCATTAGCCTTTTGATTCCACTAGAATACATCTTTGCTGACACCCCGCAGCAGGTCACAAGCGCCATACCAAGCCTGATATACCCCCCACCACACCAATACTCACTAATCCTCACTATCAGCCTCCCCCTTATTTGCCATCTAACACAGTTCAGTATACAAACGGCCTCAAGTCCCTTTGGAGGCCACATCCCCTGTAGCGCCCTCTGTGGGCCTCAGAGGGCCTAGCAAACATCAATTCCACCATCACTCTCCCCAGCACTGACTTCAGTAGCGTGCTGCTACTGAAACAGCAGCTCCTAAATAACAAATTTAGGACTAAGTGAAGATCTGTGCAGGAAGGCTGCAGTGTCCAAGATAGAACAGAGCCAGGATGATGACTGCAGAGTCCCTAGGGTTTCATGGGAGGCTGAGACTTTGGTTGTAATTCTTCTGCCAAGAAAACTTCCTTGCATTGCTGGCAACTGTAGTTTCATCAGGAACCTTATACCACTCAGTATTTTCCTTAGATCTGCTCCTGAGGTTACGAGATGATGCAAGAGGCATCATTTGCACGTAAAAAAAACCTCTTTCTCATGAACATTTGTGGTTTTCCAGGAGAAAAATAAACAAACAAACAAACCTGGAAGTGGGAACAGTAGGATCTCAAAACCCAAAGGCAAATAACTCCGGCTCTCCTGCCCAAATGTATTACTTTACTTACGACCTGATTTCTGGGAGACCTATCTTTGATTTGAACTCTGGGATCAACAGTGGGGCGCGCACATTCACGTACTGAGCCCGGTGTGATCAGTCCCTATTTTTTCCGGCGGCGAGATCCCTAAGCAGTCGCCCCCCAACCCAAGCTTAGAAGAGAACACAGCTATGAGGGTCTACAGTATTACTCATTGCTCCTGTATTTTGCTGCCTGCAGATATGCATTTCCTTAGCTGGGCAGGAATAA